TCATTAAAAAACAAAATTTGTTAAGGGAGTATTACTTAGCCATAATAAAAGGATGGAACTATTGCTACAAGGGACGAGAGAGATGAACCTTGAAGGGATGAACAAGAGGGATGAACCATTTCATATTAAATGAAAGAAGACAATCACAAAAAGAACACATACTCAAATCTACAGAGCCATAAAGTAGATCAGTGGTTATTTAGGGCTGGAGACAGTGGAGGGAATAAGAGGCTAAGAGTATGAGTTTTCTTTTTGAGTTGATGACTGTGGTGATTACACATACCAATGAATATAACATACAACACTGAATTGTATATAATTACATAGTATGTGAATTCTGTCTCAAAGCTGTTAAAGAATGTGAGATGTGTTGTTCTAAAAGAACAGACTGCTCAGGGAGGTATTTACCCACGTCTGCACTATGCAGGGTGCCAAATGCAATACAATGGTTAGACCAAGATGTTTTTTAATATTCCTTTCCAAACAAAGCTGCTACCTACAACACTTTGTATAGGAATACACTTTCAAGTTCCCTTGGGTTAAATATGTAGGAATGACTGAGTATAAGGAGGTGTATGTTTAGTTTTTTTAGGAAACTGCTAACCTTCATTCTAACCTGACTGTATCATTCTGCATTCTCACCAGCAGTGCATGCAAGTTCCATTTTTTCCTATATCCTCACCAATCTTGATATATGATCAGTCTTTTTAAATTTTAGACATGCTAATGGATGTGAGGTGGTATTTCAAAGTTTTCTTTTGCATTTCCCTAAGGACCAATGAAATTCGAGCTTCTTTTCATGTGCTTTCTTATCTCTTTTGGTAGAGTTCAAATATTCTACCTATTTTTATTATGTTAGTACTGAATTTTGCAACTATACTCATTTTTCAAGTTAGGTCCCTGCCCCGCCCCCATGACTAACGAGTTACATAAAATAAGAATCACAATGACCTATATACTCAAAAATTGTTTAAAAAAATGAGCTGATTCCATCCAAAATGGGAAAGCATTTCATCACAAACACAGTATGTGTGAAACACCAGGTGACTTTGTTCAAGTTACCACAAGCTCTGAAACAATCCTTCCTGTGTAAAGAAAAAAATCACTGAAATCTGAAAGAAAAACCAAACCTCAAGATATAACCTGAGAACTAAGTAATATTGGAGCATTATAACATGTTTCTTCACCATTTTTTTTTTTTTTTACTTCTTTTAAAGTGATTACCGTGCCTCACTGGCATTATACTTCTAGTTAATAGCACTGATCAAAAACTTTTAAAGCAGACCCTGAAAATAACATATCTCCACTGGTTAGACAAAAAATACATACAAATAACATTTTCCCCTCCCTATTCCTCTGAAGTGTGAAGAAAATGGTATAATGAAAGGGGCTTTGAACTGGAACTCAGAGATCTTAAGTTTGGGGCAAACTCTGTTATAGTCTGGTCGGTGTGATCTTGACTAAGTCATTCTGTTTACCTGGATTTAAGTTTCTTCTCCAAATGTGAAATTTTTTTAACACAAGAAATAACAAATTATTATGCTCTACTTTTTACAAGTCATTACACCAGTATTGCAGATCTTAAGTTTATAATTTAAGAGGAGGTACAATCCAAACACTCCAACACAAGGCAAAACTCCCTTCTTCAAGGAAGCTGTCAAGCATTTCTCACTTGTACGGCATGTGCATGTCTGTGTGTGTTTTAAAGGAAAAAGCATACCTTATGGGAGTCAGGAAAAATTCTGACCACTATTAAGTTCTACAGACACTGAATTCAAAGTCTGCAATCTGAAAAAGCATTCATCACATGGCATTATTACGATGCTCAGGGATACTGAACTTGACAATACTCAAGTCAAGTCCTTCCCATGACTATAATGATACAGTAAGTAAATGACAAGTCTTCTCCATGAGCATAATGATACAGTAAGAAGTAAATGACAAGCCATAGTGAGGTTCTATTTTACTTGAAGAAATGATTCTGCAGTACAGTTCAAATTCAGTGAAGATGAAATACTTTTCAGCTTCTAATTTCAGAAACTTTTTAAAACTAACAAGTCACCTTTTGTGATACATTCATGGATGAGCAGAGTGATTTATTTTTCAGCAGAAACCTGATAGCCAGTTAGGCTAGTATCCTAATGGATTAACCACAGCACTCATTTATGACAGCACAAATTAAAAAGAGAGCCTACGCAAAACATACAACCCCCATCCAACAGAGGTAACCATATACCAAAGAAACCCAGACACTACTCTTTGCAGCATTTGTATTAACAGGATGTACACAAGGAGGTACACAACTACTGTTTCAAGGTCACAAACTCAACAAAGAAAAACCACCCTGGAAGTAAATTTATAAATAAGTATGTCTCACTGTGTAAACTGAACTTATAATCAAACTTGAACAATTCTACATATACAAGAATTCCCTTGTTCACATTACTTGGAGATAGAATATTCCCATTTTAAGGTTAAGAAAGTTGAGGCTCAAGTACAAGTACTGAATTTACCTGTCCTTCTTGAGGAAAAGAAGTAACAGCATAAAGTTTGCTGAGAAATATGTAAGGCGGTTTTGTATTTTAAAAAAAGAAGAGCAGCCCAGGATTCTCATCCGTCAATTGCAAGAAAGGATGGAGCAAGACATCAGGGATGCCATCAACCTCAGTCCAGTTTCCCTCAGTAATTTTTTTATTAAAGAGCTGTGGATGTTAGCTAAAGCTGTTAAAGTGTGTTCTTATTCTGAGCCCAATATTTTACCTCTAAGGTCAGAATTTTCCCATGTTTCCTAAAAGCTAGGACAGGTATTTCCATTGCTCCAAATAGAGTTTAAGAAATAGCTGAAGGCATACTCTAGTTTTATAATACCAAAATTTGGTAGATAAATTTGTATATGGCCATTCAAACCCTTCATTATAAGTTTTCTGCCACATTCCTTCCACACATTTCTCTTTCCTGAAGAAAAGAGAAACCTAAAGACAAGCAGTATGGTACAGGAGCCTGGATGCCAGCTTGGGGGATGTCACTTTCAGTCTTTCTCTGGTCTCTTATTCAATGTAGATCTGGACAAGGCCTGGAAACTCACAGGTCACGGAGGGCTCATCGAAACTGAAAAAGCTGGGCCCTCCCTGATGGCAAAACGGAGTAAAGCACAGCACTAAGAAGCTACAGCCACTTCAGCATGAGTTCGATCCCTGCCCCAAGAAGACCCACATGGCGTGGCAGACCTCTCCTGACCTGCCCTCTGCTCCCCTCAGCAGTGTACATCCTGGATCTGCCTGTTCTGCTCCCCATTCTGTCTCTGGTGAATCCTCTCACCACCC